AATATAAAAAAACAATTATTATTATAATAATTATTTTTATGTAATTTAAAAAGAAATTTTAATAATAATGAATATTTTCAAATAGAAATCAAATAGATCTCTTATTTGAGAGACATATTTAAAAAATTTGAACAAAGTCAATTTTTTAAAAATTTTTAATGGCAATTTTTTTTATTTAAAATAAATCTTTTAAGTTATTTAACATTAAAATATATTAATATATCAATTTTTGTTTTTAATTATATCTTTTAAAAAAAAATTACAAATTAATAAGTTATAAATAATATTTTAAGAATTATCTTTATGTACATAATAATAATAAGTATTTCATTATATTAATAATAATATGAATAAAAATTTAATTTTTATTTGAAAATGAAAAAATAATTCCGCCCCCGGGTGGGCTCGAACCACCAACCTTTCGGTTAACAGCCGAACGCGCTAGCCGATTGCGCCACGGAGGCATTTGTTGGTGGATTTCTTTTCGACTCCTTTTTAGTTATTTTGCATTTTTTACATGTGATTTTATTTTATGATTTTATTTTATAATTTTTATTGTTTTTAATATTTTTGTCTTATTATTAACACATTTTAAAAGAAAAATTATTTTTCATTTTTGCATATTATAGCATATTGCATATATATTTAGAAATTATTTTTTCTTATTTCTTTTTAAGTTAAAAACTGTTTTATACATTCAGAAATATTTTCTTACAAATATTTGAAAGATAATGGAAATTTATTATTCATACATTAAAAAACGTATTATTTAGCAGATTTTTTTTCATTTTGAAATTTTTTTATTTCTTAATTTCTTTATTTTAATATCAATTATTAAAAATAATATGTCTACTCGTTACACGAGATATTTCAAATATATTTATATATATATACTTTGAATAATTCCATCGAATTAAATATTATCTGCAACATCGCCATATAATAATTCCATATGGAAGCTATTTAAATATGATACTAATTGTTATTACATATATATCTATAATTTTTACATTGCATATTTTAAATATATTATCTTTATTTATTGTATTATCTACAATAGATTTCAAGAAAATGAAATGATTTAAAATAGGGATACAATTATTTTCCCATGAATCGTGTCCTGCACGCTTTTCATCAATGCTTCTTGCGTAAAAGTATGCAACTGGGACTCGGAAAGAAGAAAGCAAACGAGCGTGTCTCTCGTTGCAAAATCCTTCGTGCCTTGACATTTTCATCGGGTCCACTCACCTCGCGTATCCTCACTGTTTACAAAGCTTATTCTCGGACAAGATAACTTTTCATACGGCCTTTTGATGAATCGACATCCACTGTGTCACAAAGAAATGTCGATGTATTCGGCGCGGTCGTAAGATCATTCGTTAGCCATGACACGGTCAATCACGTGAATGCCTGGTTTTTGTGCAAGTGCATTCATATTCTTAAAGATTTTTTTTTTAGAATCAACAATAATATTATCCTTTAACGAAGATCGTTTAACGAAGATTTTATTATCAGAAAATGATTTATTTTCACCAAATAATTTGATTCGAGATTTTTATTTAAGTCGAGAGATAAGATTCTTATTCTATTGGGTTTTAACTAGCATGAATGGAATGTGGAAGTTTATGTTTCAGAGTAGTCGGTTTCAGTAGGCGTCTTAATATGTGAGTTATTACTTGAGTCATATATAACACGTTTTAAAAATGGTGGACAATATCTTGAAGCGAAGTCGACGCGATAATCTACTTTAGGAATAGTTATACAAAAGATATAAAAAAAACATGATCGTGATAATTATAATTTCTAAGCGCATTTGTAATAAAATATTCGAGAGAAAAGTTTGACAATTTCGAATGGTGGAATCGAAATATATTTCTCCTGCAAATACAAAAAAAAAAGTTTTCTTCATTTTCTAGATTTTTCATTTTTCTAACAAAGGAGGGAAAAGATAACTTATCGATGAAATAGCAAGCAAGGATCAATCATTGTCAAAAACTCATTGTCCACAGTAATAATAATAATTATTATTATAACGATGATAGCAATAATACAAATAATAATATTAATAATAATAGCGGTACTGGTACTAAATCGTAATAATAATAATAATATTAATAATAATAATGACACGTATCTCTAAAAAAAAAAAAAAAGAAGACAGAGTCGAGCTACACACTAGTTTTATTGGGATGAGGTTGTGGTTGTGGTTCGTGTGTCGTTTTTTTGAGGGGGGAGGGGGGGAGAAAAAAATAAAGAAAAAGAGATTCTTGTGGGGAAGGGGGGATTTGGGATAAGGATACTAAAATATTAGGGGGCCGATTTCGTCCCCGCGGACAGATCGCGGTGTCCGCCGGGACGAAGGAGAGGATGATCCCTGGCGTGCACCAAGTCAGATCCCAAAGGGTGACCACGCGTTCCTGAGATGTAGATGTTTTCGCTTTTCGTTTCCGCATTCGATCCAAGTTTCCATCTTCATCGTGATCATCATCATCATCATCATTATCATCATCGTTGTCGTCATCGTTGTTTTCTGAATCTTGTTCCGACGTGTGATCTTCTAAGTTTCATCCCTCACAGCCAGGTGGCCACGTGGTCATCCTGCCCCGAGTCGATGTGAATCTTCTCTCGGAATCGTAGCGCGCCGGGGGAAGTTTTGGACCCTGCCACAGAATTTGATCGCGCAATCTCTCTCTCCCATTCACACCGATATACACTCTCACTCCGTCTCGTTCTCTCTCTCTCTCTCCCGCTCGCTGCTTTTCTCTACCCGGGGCCGAACAATTCCCCCTTTCTTTTTCATTTTTTTTTTTTTAAGTTTATTAATTTTTTTTTTTTTTATCTTTTCAAATGTTTTTCGTTTTCCCATTTTTGTCTGGTCGATGGTGGATTCTGAACGCAGTGGTCTGGACGAGTGGCGAGTCAGTGTCCGCTCCGTTCGAGATGTTCGTTCGCTTGAGAATTTTTCAATCGAGGTTATCGTTCTCTCTTCTCCTTCCCGCCTCTCGCTGCGACCGTTACCCTCGCTCCTATCGTTCACTTACACNCGGCTTGTTCTCCTCCGCCGCCTTGGCCTGATCCTGTTGGACGGCTGGCTGCTCCGGTTTCTTCTCCTCGGGGGCAGCTTCCTCGGCGTCGCGGGTCACACGGTCGGGTTTCTCCTCGGCCTTCTTCTCCTGTTGCTGCTCCTCCTGTGGCTTCTCG